GGGTCCCGGGCTCGGGAGGGCGGCGACAGCCCCGGTCCCCGCCCCGGGGGAGCGCGGGTCGCCCTGAGGGTCCTGAGCTGAGGCAGAGCCCGGAGTGATGCGGGAATATTCCCTTGGTCCTGAGCACCCTGCTGCGGCAGGGAAAGTGGACGCAGGGACCTCCGGGGTCCCTCCTGTTAGAAATGAAAATGTAGTGTTGGTTTTGCATTCTAGTGTTAGAAACATAGTGTCAGGTTTGGTTTACATCCTAATGTTAGAAATACATAATTTGTTTGAGATAAGTGAGATATCTGTATATTCTAAGGACGCCAGGAGGGGTTTATGGCCCAAGAAACTGAGGGAGTGAATTGGGCTCCACCTGGGGATCTAAAGGTGGATTTATGGCCCAAGATCAGACCCAACAAAGCCACTTCTATCTTGCTCACAGGGCAGGATGACACCAGTAGGTTTGTTAATTGGGAAGACAGCCCAGGGGGCAAGAAAGGTCAAAATTTTACCTTAAAAGGTAAAAAGTAACCTGCTAGAATGGAATGTGTAAACAGGGGCGGGAAACTTATAGGAGAATTTGAGGCGTTGGATGGGCTGTGAAGCCTGGAGTGCTCAGCCAGTGGGGAAACAGGGGAGGGAACTTTGCGTCGGGAATAGGGAATGTAAACCGTTATTCACCTCACTATGGGTGTGCCTGCTTGTTTAGGTCACCCGTTCTTGCAAGAATGTAAATAAACTGTGCTTCGTTGAAGGATCTGTGTGGGCCTGTTAATTGGCACGACAAACGTTTCTCACACCTTCCAACCCCTGTGATGGTATCACAGGGAGAGCTGAAGCATTAACAAAGGTGGGGACAGTGCCCCGATGTTGGAAGAAGGGTAGGTTTTCTCTAGTCACTTTCCACTTGTTTTTTTCCCTGCCCAGTCTCTCAGAGCGAAGCCAAAGGTCCCCAGTCGAGTTCTGGAATGGAAGAAAGCCTCAGTCATTTTCACACAGCCAGGAGCATCTCAGCTACGTACCAAGCAAACCACCATCTCTGCCTTCTTCAGCACCCAGACAGGTAACGTGGCCCTGCAGGAAAGAAATTTTCAGGCTGTCATAAGAAACCCATCTTGCTTTATTTTTTGGCAGCTTAACTGGGCAGAAAAGTATATTTTCAAGTGAAGAGAGTAAAGGTTAAAGGTTTGAATTCCTCAAAGTAATTTTCTTGTGATCATTAATCGAAATGTAAGCACCTTCTACAGTGTTAGACTGCAGCATAAGTAGCAGCACTCACAGCCAGTCCTCAGTCTGAACTCTAAATGTTTAAACACAACAAGCTTTACTCCCTACAAACCTGGAGTTTGCAGTGGAGTGTTGGCTGAGCCCAGGAGCCAATACAAACCATCCAGGAGGCAAAATGCCCAGTTCTGGGTTGCCTGGTGGTCTCACATAAAGGACAACAGACCCTCTCTCCAGTTGCTCTGAGAGGTGTCAACAGTTTGCCAGGGTCACTCAGTCCATAACAAGCATCCAGGAACGGAGCTGTGGGCAGTGACTGCCCCTGTGTCCCTGCTCTGCCTTTATCCAGTTCTGTGTCGTTTTCAGATGAAAAAGACAAAGAAAACTGCAGGCCATCTCCTTTCATCCCGAACAAAGGCTGTAAAGAAAAAGGTCTGTCTCTGGCTGCCTGCCCCGTGAGGATCTTGGCTCTGCCCCGGGAGGAGGCCCAGAAATGCCCCTTGGGAGCCGGGGAGCAGCTGGTGCAGGTTACAGCACAGAGAGCACCCTCCTCACCTGCTCCTTTCAGAGACTCTTCCGTGTTACAAGCCGAGTCCCGCAGCACCCGTGGAGCCTCCTGCGGGATGGGAGGGGATTCCTGCTCCTTCAGCCTCACCCAGGACTCCGAGGGCAACCGAGTCATCGCTCACCGAAAGGAATCACAATTACTTGCTGGAGAAACGGTTTCAGGAAGAAACCAGAATAAGAAGCCACAACAATCAAGTAGTGTTAATTCTTCAATTGATTTTGACGGGACTGAGAATACAAATCCCGCTGTGAGGAGAGATGGTACCTGGGCTGTTGGTGTCTGTTCCTCTCCGCAGAGAGCACAGCCCCTGAGGGAGCACGGCTGGAATGCTGGCTCAGCCCCGGGGGGCCGGGCTGGGTCCTGCGGGCAGCTCTTCACCCAGGACTCACAGGGGAACAGCGTGATCTCTCACCGCAGCCTCCCTGGGAGTCCGGGGGAGCAGCAGGAAGAGCTGGGCTACGAATTCCTGTTCACACAGGATTCAGAAGGGAACAGAGTGATCAAACACTGGTAGGTGACCCTGGGTTGGTCACCCAGAACCTCTCGTGAAGCCTCAGGAAGTTTCTGTTGTGTTTTTTATGAAAGCAATCAGAATTAGGTAAGTGGACCTGTTGTTTCTGTATGTTTGGTCTAGCCAGCATGTGAAGCAGAGCCATGCAACAGGCAGGAGCTCTTTGAAATTTTGCATCTTAATAAAAAATGAAGTTTTGAAGGAATCTGTCTTTGATGGGTTGGGGGTGTCAGTTACAGCCCGTGTGGCCAAGGCCTGGCTTTAGCCTGGCCTAGTTGGTGTTGGGTGCTGCTCTTCAGCCTGAGCGCCCCCTGCTAACGTGTGTATTCTCAGGATCCTGAAAGTCCAAGTGTGAAGATTTTCCAGGCTTGGGAATCACACTGTCTATGGGTGCTGCCCTGAGGAAGTACCAGGCTCTGCTCCACTCTGTCTATAGGTGACATCTGGGCTCAGCCCCTGAGGGGGGTTCATGTGTGTCAGCTGTGAAAGCTGCTCCTGGGCGGCACAGCACCCACGGCTGCTCCCAGACTCACCAGAGGTTTAACCTCAGGAAGACTGGGACAAAGAGGAGGGATAACAGTGTGACTGTCCTGAGGGGTCTGACCTGGGATCCTGCGGAGGTGGGTGGGATGCAGGGGTGGGGGCTGCAGCCCCAGACCACAGTGAGAGCTGGGCAGTGCTGGATCCTGACCAGCTTGTCCAACATAATCCCCTGCCTTTGGACACGGAGCAGTCTGGATGGGTGTGCTTTCCCCTGTCCTGAAGTGCAGGCACCAGCTGCTCCAAGGCCCAGGGGGGGTCACAAGCAGCAGAATCCAGCTGTGACCACCACAATGAGTTTTCCTGTCCCCTTAGACCAGAATGTTGGTACCGCAGCCCAAACGAGTCATGTCCAGGAATTAATTGCTCTGACATCCAGGCTGCACATGGAGCACGTGTCCAGGAACACTGACTCTTCACACAGCTCCATCCCCTCTGCAGGCAGGTATATTCCCACCAAATCCCTGTGCAGAGGAGCCTCACTGGGACCAGGGGGAGTGATGGCATCAACCAGCAGCTCCTGGGGTGTCTGAGAGGGGAAGATCTGGAGCAACTCCCTGTAGAACTGATTAAGTGGTAAATGCTGTTTCTGTGCTCACTCCCTGGGTGCCCAGAGGCAGGTTCAAGCCTCTTCTTTCACTTTTCAGGTTGGGATGATGGTTTCATTTTTCCAAAGGCTGAGATCCTGGTGGATTAAGAAAATCCTTGGCATCCAGCTGCATTTATCTGCAGCACCACCAGGCAAGGCTTGAAGCTGAAATTCCCCCCAGCCTCCAAATCCCACTTGGTGACGTGCTTGGACACCTGTACATGAATAACACCAAGCACAACCAGTGTCTTATTAAGGCTCCATTTTATATAAAGGAAAAAAAAAAATCAAACTTTAAATACAGGCATGAGGAACATTGCAGAGAAGGTGCAGCTGAAGGAAACCTCTTCAGTTCTAGTGGGAATTGCAGCCACAGCCAAGGCTGGTTCCTTCTTCCCTGTGCTCAGCTGGCAGCTCCTGTGGGGGGTGCTTGGTTTTCAGCTGTGGCAGTTCAATAAATAGACCTTTTGAATGCTAAATAAAATCCATAATCTGAATACAAGGACAAGTAATGAAACATTAAAATGACTGGCAAGAAATTAAGGCTGTTCTGTCATGCAACTGTGGGGCTAATTGGTGATTAAGGAACACCCAGAGCACACTAAAACCAGCCACTGAGTGCTTCGATCACTGCAGGTTCATCCTGCCAGTTGCCTTTCCCCACTGTGGTTCCACACTGAAGACCTGGAAGCATTAATTAGCTGATTTGCAGTAGCTCTGTACCATACTCAGAGAAAAAAAAATGTGATGTTTGACATCCCTTTATACTGGAAATGGTGACTGGTTATACTGGAACGAGGCCGTTATAAGGTAACGTTTAATTGGAACCTAAAGAAAACTGTAGGTAGAAAGGACATCATCCAGCAGCACTCATTGCACTCTTCCCAAGATCCTTAGCAAGAAACATCAAAATACAGGTGGAAAAGAATTTCCATCTTCTTAAAAAGTTGTGTTGTTTTTTTTTTTTTAAATATAACAATACATGGAAAACACATCAAATCCACCGGGTCTTTCCTAAGTGTCCAGTGCAGAAACCTTAATAAAAGAGGCAAAAGGCTCAATCCTTAGGAAGGCAGCTACTGTGGAGAACATTTTGGGAGCGTGACACTTTTGCTTACAGAGTTTAATGTCATCATTTCTCCTTCAGGGACAGATCTTCATCTTTCAGGGCAAATTTCCTTCTCAGAACCTCTGCTATAAGGACCGCTGGGTCTTCCTCCTTCATGGAAGTTCTGCTCCTGCCCAGAAAACAAAAAGCACAATGTATTAGTAAGGGCAGTGCCAAAAATGGATGGTTTACAGCTCTGGCTTAGAGTAATTTAAGTCTTCTCCTGTAGCATTTATCATCAGCTTTTGTCACAAGTGGAGGAGGTGCAAGAACAACAACACAAAACAACAAAAAGCAGCTAAAAATTCAGGCAAAACCTGGAGCTTATTTTGTGGATCAAGGGGTACCCTGAAAATCTTCACATCAAAGCTCTTTATGATTTGTATTCAACTGTGTTAATAAAAAGTAACTAAAATTAAAAGTTCATTAACTATTTACAGCCAGGTCCCCTCACTATAAATCTGCAAGTGCTGTGGTGTATCAGTTCAAAGAAATGTTTCAACTATCTGTGAGTCTTCAGCTTTAATTAAGCTCTCGTTATCCTAAAATGTCACTGCTGCACGTAGGAGGCAAGTGAATTGGCTGAGATAGAGAAACAGATGAGAGCAAAATGGTTCAGCTCCAGCAGGAAACAGTCCTGAGCTTTTCCATGGCCAGTGTTCCTGGCCCTGCCAGCAGCAGGACGTGTGACCCAGCTCCAGACTGGTCAGTGGAGCCATCAGGAGGGGACAAGGGTCCTGGTGACTCAGTTCCTTTGCCCACCCCCTGTGCCCCAGCAAGGGCACAACACCCCTGGGTCCTGCAGTCCCTGATCTCCCAAACTCCTGCAACATTCACACCAAAAACTGTGTGCACCAGCTGCCTCTCCTTCCATCTCTCACTCTCACTCTGTCCCGCAGTTCTCACCCCAGGTCACAGCAAGATCAAACTCCTTCACCCATCGTTTGCTGTCCCAGGATGTTCTGTCGAGGAAACGGGTGTCACAGCCTGACCCATCACACTGCAGAGGTCCCTGTCACCTACACGCTGTGTTTCACACCAGGGGACACTCGTGTCCCCCACAGTTACCAGAGGGAGGAGGGGGATGGGCAGGGGTGACAGGGTCTGCAAACAAGTCACCCTCTCCCCCCTGCCTGGCTTTGCTGCAGCCCCTCAGCCTGTCACCCCCCCGCTGCAGCTCCTGGTGACCCTGCAGGGCCCTGCTGGTGTATCCAGCCCTGGGCCAGAAATGCCTCTGATCTCCCTGCCATTGTCTGTTACTGATGAAGAAAAACACAAAAACCCTTTTCTTCCCTGAAAAATGCACATTTCTCTCTCTTCACCTGCCACAGGTGGTGACAGTTTTCTCACTCTGAAAAGTCTGCTTCCATAAAAGGCTGACACACCAGCCAGCACTAATTAGAAGTCTGATAATTACAGGTGAATGCTTAGTCCTAGAGACACACATTTCTGATGAAGTTCAAATGCCACAACAAGAAGCACCTGCAAGTGTCTCTGCCTTTGGGCTTCTCCTGTGCCCTCCTGATGGTCACTCACTGCTCCTGGAGAGCTAGTTAAAGAGTCTGAGCAGCTGAAGCCCAACCCAAGCCCCTGCCAAGTCACACACAACAGCAGGGATTTTTCTGGAGAATTCTCTCTCTCCCTTTGCCTATTAATTCAGAATTATTTTTGGGTGCTCCAAGCACTGCTCTGCAACAGACAAGAAGAGAAGCAATTCATCTGTGCTCTGTGAATCCTACTCACCCCTCAGATTACAGGCATTTACATCAAGCAAGCGAGTGTTTAAGATTTGAGTAACATCAAACAAGAGCACACAGGAATGCTGGGGGAATTCTGGGTGTGTAACACCTTCCACACATTCTGGAGCCAAGCTGAATATATTTCTCTCATTTGACTATTTTTTGCAATCCTGGCAATTTAATTTCTTTTAAAATGAATTAGGGATTGCAGCTGTCAACAGCCACCACACAACCTGTTATTTTTTGGCCAGGAATCTTACACAACATAATGGCTGGAGGGGTTTTTGATCTCAGGTGTGGAAGGCAGCACAGGGGAGGTTACAGCAGCACCTCACGTGCTGGGCAGGCTCCTGCCTCAGCCAGGCAGCAGCTCGAGGAGCTCCCATGATTGATGTGTGAACTCATCACGAGACAAGTGAGAACTCACCCTGCCCACGCTCCGAGCTGGGCTGGATGCAAAAGCTGAGAAGCTCCATGTGCTAATTCCTGTACATGCCATGTGGGAAAAGCTGCTGGGCTTCCCAACTGCTGGGGTCTGCAGGAGGGTTTGAGCCCCAGCACCTGGACCCACTGACAGCAGAGAGGGCAGCACGACCCCCACCTGCCAACACAGGATTCTGTTTTCATCAGGGCAAACATCAGCTTTTGTTTTTCAAGTCAGGTGAGAGGTGTCCCTGCCCATGGCAGGGAATTGAAACTAGATGATCTCAAAGGTCCCCTCCAACCTTAACCATTCTATAAGTCTATGATAAAATACAATCAAGAGAGATCAGGAGCACTTACAAGTCTTTGCTCTGCTTCATCCTATGAATGTCTTTAAGAATTCCCATCATGTCTGCGAAGCTGCTGGCCTTGGACAGGGACACGGAATCTTCCTCCTCAGGGTCCTTGGGTTCTGGTTTGCAACACTCAGAGGTTGCAGAACCGAGCAGGGAGACTGAGGGGAGCTCAGGGCTTTCCAGTTCTGCCTCCTCCTCCGTGATATCGCTAATGACAAAGGAAGTTGTAGATTGGAAAGAGGGTCCAAAACAAGGTAAAGGAGAAGATGCGTTTGAACTTCCTGGAGATAATAAATCTGGTGTTAATGAAGCAGAAGCTGAAAAAGAAAACAACAGAGGTGGATAAGTAAACACACCAAACCAGGTAAGTCTTTTTTTCCCCTCAAAACAACAGAATATACATCAAGAGGAATCATCAAGCAGCCTCCCTAGTGCTTTGAGGAAACACACTCACCATATTCTGTTACCATCAATCTCCACTCTGCTCCCAGTGTTGGAACACCAGCCCTTTTATCCCACCCACCCCTTTATGTGTCTCTGCTCCTGTTATGCCCATGCCAGTGTCACCCTCCAGTTCAAACCCCGCAGGAGTCCAGCTCTTGTTGAGTTTTTCTGGTTTTACAGGTAAGAAATGGGGGAGCAGCTGCTGCTCAGGGGCACAGGGGGAGCCTGTGTCAGAACAGAGGTCTAATTGTCTTCACTCTTCTCCTCTTGCTCTCTGTTGCCTTTTCCTTTTGTCTCCCTTCAGGCTCCTTCCCCACCACGATTCC